CCAGATGTAACATTACGCCTGATATTCCTCATAGGATATTGTTATGATATGAATCTGGCATAACAGATGTGTTCTATGCAAGATGGGTCATTGGCAAGGTTATGATTTACTGAATATGATTATCCTATTTGTATGCATGTATCAATTCTGTATCTGAAGTTAGGAAATTTGACTATGTAACAGTTACTAGAGGGTTTGCACCTGGGGAACATCCACCAGACAATAAGCAATCAGCCTGGATGGGCCATTTAAGACGGACAATAGAACTTTGAAGATGCTAATCTCCCACCTTCCTGAGAAGCTTCCTGGGATGCTGCTTTGACACCGCAGGGTCATGTGATCATGTCACCTGGTACTGGACTACCAGTATATTTCCACTAATAGGTGGTGGGGATCAAACTAGGAAACAAAGATTCCCGCCATATCTGAATCCTATTTAAGGCAGGGAAGTGAGTTAATCACTGAATCCCTGCCCAGGATGACTGCTGGAAACATCTTAGGCTCTGTCTAAATTGGCAAGTTTCTGTGCAATAAAGCAGCTTTCTGCGCTGTAACTCCCAAGGTTACACACTGCCAGGCCACTTAGTGCGCAGAAACTGCACAGTTGTAGCACTGTAAAAATATCACCCCAACGAGAGGCGTAGAGGTTTCTGCACCAGGGCTACAGTGCCACAGTGCCAGTGTAGACACCCTGGTTGATTACAGCGCTGCAATTGGCCTCCGGGAGGTGTCCCACAATGCCTGGTCTCGCCTCTCTGGTCATCGGTTTGAACTCTACTACCCTGCCCTCAGGTGACCAACCGTCATCCTCACCCCGTAAATTCCTTTGGAATTTTGAAAGTCCCCTTCCTGTTTGCTCGGTGACGTGTGCAGTGGTCTCAGCTTATCTTTCCAGGTGGCCATGCCTGCTCCACGCACCAGGCGATCTCCCACTTGGAGCAATGCCGAGCTGCTGGACCTCATCGATATTTGGGGAGAGGAGGCTGTCCAGTCCCAGCTGTGCTCCAGCCGTAGGAATTATGATATCTACGGACAGATTTTACAATGCATGATAGAAAGGGGCCATGACCGGGACACGTTGCCGTGCAGGGTCAAAGGGAAGGAGCTGCTGGTAGCCTACCAGAAGGCACGGGAGGCAAACCACCGCTCTAGTGCTGCGTCTTCGAGCTGCCGGTTCTTCAAAGAGCTGGACGCAATACTCGACGGCGACCTCACCTCCACTGCAAAAGCCACTGTGGATACCTTGGTGGCTCGCGTGCCAGTTGAAAGTGGACTGAGCCAGGAGGAGGAAATCTTGGATGAGGATGTGGAGGGGGAGGGGAATACAGAGGCAAAGGATGACTCGGAGGTCAGAGATGCATGCAGCCAGGAGCTCTTTTCTACCCCGGAGGAGACTAGCCAGTCACAGATGTTGGCGAAGTGCAAACAAGAGAGGAGGCCCCTGGTAAGTGGATTTGATTTTGGGAATCACTCAAGTGAGTTCTTGGGGGAAGGAGGGTTGCAGAAAGAAGGCTTGTTGCCCACCACATGCCTAGTCTGAGTGGAGGAACAGGCTGTTGATTGACTCCCTCACGTCACGGGAATCTCCCTCGGAGATCTCCAGGAAACTCTAGTGGAGATACGGGGCAATCCACTGCTACAGGTTCTTTGGCACAGCTGCTTTGTTTCTTGCCCCATTAACATTAACTTTCCCGCATCACTGTGCCATCGGGGGGGGGGGGCATTGCTGCACACAGATGAGCTGCATAGGGGCCAGGGCAGAAGCCGGAGTGTTGGAGAAGACCCTCCCTTGATTCCCTGCTGACCCTCAGCAGCGAGGTATCTTCCATAATGATCACATCCTGTGGAAAGTGTGGGGAAAGGAATGATCAACCCCTCCCTACTGTGCTGGCTCTCCCCAAAAGCCACGTGCCCAGTGTACAGCAGGGTCCGAGAAGAGTGATTTCCCCTGCCTCTGTGGCTACTCACCATTTTGGGGATCTTGTGGCTCATATTTGCTTGCCTGGGGTCAGCCAGTTAGTGCCAGGTGTGTGAGTACTGGCTGTGTTTAAAGCACTGAATCAGTGCTCTCTGTGTTGCAAACAATATGGCTTTCGTAAAATGTTGTGTTTAAACTTCACAGAGATGACCCTGGGAGCCCAGCCTCCCTCTTGGTTATCGGCGGCTGAACAGTTGTGCAGAATTAGAAAGGGGCCAAGAAAAACTAAGGAGGATTTTCTGTGTGATGTTATGATGCAGTCTACCGCCGAGAAACAGGAATTCAAGGAGTGGTGGGACAGCGAGAAGAGGGACCGAAGGAGAACGCGGCGCGCCAGAATGAAGCCATGGAGCGGCTCCTAAAGGTTATGGAGCGCCAAGCAGACACGCTCCAGGCGATACTAGCTCTTCAAACTGAGCAGCTCCGCACCCGCCCTCCCCTGCAGCCGCTGTCGCAAAACTCTTTCCCATGCGCCCCCCAGACACCACCAACACACTCTTATCAACCTCCTGGCTCCAGTCTGTACTGCGGCTTTCCACTCCTTCCCCGTCACAGTCCAGCACTGCCGACTCCCACTGCCCGCTCCACTCAACACCCATCCCTCTGCAGTGTGGCCCTGCTGAAGTACAGGACCCGCTGCATTGCACTCCAAAGGAGAAGGTTGGATATGATCCCTGGACATACACAAATCTTTAGCCGCCCCGGACCCCTCCTCCTCCTGGGACCTTCTCTTCCCCCATCCCCCCCACTGCTGATGTTTTTTGACTCTCTCCTCCAGTTGTTGTTTTTTAACAAAACAATTGTGCGGGTTTGAAAGCAATCTTTATTTTATTTATTGAAAGCAAAAAGATCCCTGCAAAGCGACATACAATTATGTTAAACCCACATATTGCATCATCTGCAGCAATCACCTCCTAGCATTACAAGCACTGCACTCCTGAGCATAGCAAGAAATATAAGTGGCCTTCAGCTTCACATTGCTGCCTCAAGGCATCCCTGAGCCTGATGCCCCGTATTGCCCCCCTCTAATAGCCCTGGTCTCTGGCTATTCAAACTCAGCTTCCAGGCACTGAAACTCTGTGATCCAGCTTTTAGTGAAGCTTTCACCCTTCCCTTCACAAATATTATGGAGTGTCCAGAATGCGGCTATAAGCATCGGAATATTGTCATCGGCCAGGTCCAGCTTCCCATAGAGGCAGCACCAGCGGGCTTTTAAATGCCCAAAAGCACATTCAACAGTCATTCTGCACTTGCTCAGCCTGTTCTTGAACCGCTCCATACTGCTGTCAAGTTACCCCGTGTGTGGCTTCATAAGCCACGACATTAAGGGGTAGGCTGGGTCTTCCAGGATCACAATGGGCATTTCCACTTCCCCTATGGTGATCTTCTGGTCTGAGAAGAAAGTCCCTGCTTGCAGCTTCCTGAACAGGCCGGTATTCCAAAAGATGTGTGTGTCATGCACCTTTCCAGACCAGCCTGTGTTAATGTCTGTGAAACGCCCACGGTGATCCACAAGCACCTGGAGAACAATTGAGAAATACCCCTTGCGATTAATCTACTCAGTGGCTAGGTAGTCTGGTGCCAGAATTGGAATGTGCGCGACATTTATCACCACTCCGCAGTTAGGGAAGCCCATTTGTGCAAAGCCGTCCACAATGTCACGCACGTTGCCCAGAGTCACGGTCTTTTGGAGCATGATACGATTAATGGCCCTGCAGACTTCTATCAACACGAGTCCAACGATCGACTTTCCCACTCCGAACTGGTTAGCGACCAAACGGTAGCAGTCTGGAGTAGCCAGCTTCCACAGTGCAATCGCCACGTGCTTCTCCAACGGCAGGGCAGCTCTCATTCTCCTGTCCTTGCACAGCAGGGCTGGGGCGATCTCATCAGACAGTCCCATGAATGTGGCTTTCCTCATCCAAAAGTTCTACAGCCACTGCTCGTCATCCCAGACGTGCATCACGATGTGATCCCACCACTCAGTGCTTGTTTCCTGAGCCCAAAAGTCGCGTTCTACTGTGGTCAGCACCTCTGTGAATGCCACAAGCAACCTCGTATTGTAGCTACTACGCGTGGCGAGATCCATGTCGCACTCCTCTTGCCTTTGTAGTTTAAGGAATAACTTCACTGCCAGTCTTGACATATTGGTCAAAACAAGCCGCATATTGGTCAACAGTTCGGGATTAATTCCTGCAGCCCAAAGAGGCAGGCCACGCAATACACAAATTGTTGAAAGATGACACCAAATGCAGACAGAAGCATAGGGATTGCTGGGATGCAAAGCAATGCATAACGGGGTACTGGGGCAGGACCCAAGATTCCCCCAGACCCTCTCTGCTTTCCCACAACTCTGAGCGGCAGAAGAGAAAGAGGTGCTCTGTGGGATAGCTGCCTAGAGTGCACCGCTCCGAATACCGCTGCAAGTGCCGCAAGTGTGAACACGCTATTGCGCAGACAGCTGACAGTGTGAACACACAACAGCGGTTTCCATCACGTGGAGTGGAACAGACGGGCTGTCCTCTCTCGAGCTCTGCACTAGCTCCATCCCCAGCTATGGGCTGGATGCAGGAATCCCTGGGTCATTCTCTGCCCTGTGCAGCGTGAGAGGCCGGATCAGCCTGCTCCCTTCCTGGCCTTAGAATCTTTGAATTAATGGCTCGGCCTTCGCTCCCCAGGAACTGTGATGCCGTCACCTCCCCAGCTCCCTCGTCCTCCATGGAGTCTCCCGGGGGGAGATCGACCAGAGCTGAATTTCAAAGCCGCGCCCCCTTTTTAGCTCCCTTCCTAGGAAAGCAGAATGGGATTCCACAGCACGCTGCTTCCCCTCTTCACGTCACCTCAGGCACTCGGCCCTCGGGTCCTTTATCATCTGGTAAATCAGTTCGGGCTGATTTCCCAGAGAACAGGTTTCTGCATTTTTAATTCCACCATCGTCAGGGCACTGACTGGCCATTGGCCCAGGATTGGCAGGACTGGGGCGGCTGCCCATGGTGACTTACCCTGTCTCTTTGCCTTCCAGGGCTCTGCATCGCCCTGTGCCTGGGGAGCACTGTGGCCCAGACTGATATCATACAAGGTAAGGTTGACTCCTCCTGGCTAACCTTCCCGAATGCTCCCGGCTGCCCGGGGTCTCCGGCCTCTGCCCCCTCTGGTCCCTTTCCCTTGTGGGAGGAGAGCAGAGTTAGGGTCTGGCAAGCTGGGAGCAGCCCCTTGGCATGGGCGTCTTGGGGTGGGTTTATAGAACACAATGGGTGCATGCAGGGGAGAGGAGAAGGCCCCTCTGTAGCCCTCCTCTTCCCTTCCCAGCCCCGTGGCCAGCAGAGAATAGACACTGGGGCTCAGGGCTCTACACTGGGGGCTGGAGTGAGGGGCAGATCCCCTTTGTAGCCAAGGGCTGTGTTATTGACCAGCCCTAATCAAACCCCTGATGGCTCAGACGTTAGAAGTCGCATTTGTAGGTGCCTCCGTCCCTCTAAAATCAGGCTGAACTGAAACCTGGGACCCACGTGCCCATCTATGGGGCGTTTGGGATCCGGACTCTGCACCCCGAGCCCAGCTCTGCTGCGAATCCCAAGATGGGATTCGAGCAAATTCCCATCGACCCACTGGGGTCCCCCAGTGCTGCTCCCACCCTGCTCCGTCTGCTCCCATCCCAACCCTGCAGCCGGCTAAGCTGCGCTGGGATCCTTCCCCTCACGCTGGCCAGAGGGACAGATCCCAGCGGAGCCCCAGACACCGGGCAGCTAAAGGATCCAGGAGCCCCCGTAGGCAGGTCACAATCTGGGTCATGGGAGGCAGCTCAGGATCCAAACTAGCCTCGCGCCCGATTCCGCTCTCAGTCAATCCAGAGCAGAGCCGGGCAGGAACTTCCCAAGGAACCATTTTTTGCCAGGAAATGCCAATTCGGTTCAGAGGAATGTTTGGTTTTACTCGGGAAAACATTGTGTGTGGGAGTTGGGAAGATGAAATAATTTTCAAAACAAAAAATTCCGGTTTTCCGGTTTGGAGTGAGGTTTTGGGTTTGAAATTGACGCTAACGAGAGTAACGACAGCAGCAACAAAAAGGAGAAAAATTGAGCGAGAGCGAAAATGTTTCACTTGAAGCGACGCCCGGCTTCGGCGGCTCTGCCTGTCTGTGCCGGGGGCACCCCGGAGAGCCAAGGCCCCTGTGCAGCCGAGGACAGTTTGTTGCCAGGCGGTGGACGGCGTCGGAGCTGTTTGCCAGGAGCTCAGGGACGAAAATCAGCGATTGGGGTGTGTGAAAGGAGTCGATCCCACTGTGTGTGGGGGGGGGAGCTGCTCTGCACTGGCTGACCCTGCCCAGCTGTTCTCGCCCCTGCAGGTACCACTGAGGACTGCAACAACCATATGCTATGCCCAGAAAACGCCAAGTGTGTGAACAACACCCACTACACCTGCCTGGATGGATACCAGTCACATGGGAATCGCTTCTTCACCGACATAACGGAGATCTGTGATGGTAACGGGGCTCCCACATTGTCCTGGGGGGGCTGGGACAGAGCAGGGCATTAAGGGCCGGAGCAGCCAACTCCACTGACTCCAGGGCCTGTTGGGGGGGCTCAGCCCGGCTGGGGAATGAGGGGGGGGCAGCAGCACGGGTGAGTGCCGCCCTCCTGGGGATCGAACCGGGGCCTCCAGAGTGAGCAGCAGGAGCGGCTGCAGCAGGAGCCAGGAGTGTTGGGCTCTGTGGATTAGGCACAGGGTGGGGGGGCCCATCACACTGACCCGTCTGAACCCCAGCCTGGGCCCTCATCAGCCCCTGGGTGTCCAGGGGCAGAGGGGCCCCACGGGAGCAGAATGGGGCACCCCTGGCTATACTTTCCCCCCACCCCCCACCACGCAGGGATCCAAGGAGGGAGGGGGCAGAGGAGAGGCAGCTTATCATCCCCCCCCCACCCAACACACAGGGAGCCTAGAGCCCCAGAGGGAGTCTCCCCACCCTCCCCTCACATGGGAGATCTGGGTGTTTGTGGGGCCGAACCCCCCGTACCTGGGACAAGAGGCTCAGATGGTTGTTTCCGACATTCCAGCAGCAGAAATGGGTAACTGAGAATCAGACCCTTAATCACTAACCGCTCAGGGCCCCAGTTGCCTGGATCCCATCTCCCAGCTCAGTGCGGGGGGCTGGGAGGGGGTGATACGGGGAAAGTCTCCCTCCCAGGACTGTACAGAGCGTCCCCTCTTGCATTACAGATATTAACGAGTGTCTGGGGCTGAGCCCGCCAGACTGCGGACGCTACGCAAACTGCATCAACAGGGATGGGAGTTACTACTGCAGCTGCATCGATGGCTACGAGTCCAGCTCTGGGAAAGCCAACTTCATGAACGCGAGTGAGAACACCTGCCAGGGTGAGCTCTCCCCTGCCCCCCATCTGCTGAGACCCCTCCCTCACACACACAAATGCTCGTTCCAGGCCTGGCGCTGCACCGGTGCTGCTACCGGCTTTGGCAGTGGCCCGAGGCCGTCAGCAAGGCTGTGATGAGACGTGACCCTCACCTGCTCCCGCAGAGCATGGGGCTGTGTTCACCCCTATGCCTGGCGCTTGGATGGGGAATAAACAGACCCACGGAGCAAATTCCTTGTGCTGCAGTGATGCGCTGGGGAAAGGGGAGGGGTCCCTCGCTGGCCCCAGCATGCAGCATCTGGGCTTCCAGTGTCCCTCTGAGCCTTGGAAGGGGCCTCGTGTATAGGCCATGGAAATAGCACAGTGCGCTCTCCCCCTATGGACCCTGGGGAGGAGAGAATAGCCACAGCACAGTATGCCCCAGCCACGCCCTTAATCTTCCTGCTTTGGGCCCTGGGGGGCAGGGAATAGCTGCAGTGCTGGGCACCCCGGCCTCGGTCCTGGAAGCTCCGTTCCCATCCCGCATGGACTCTTAGAAGCCTTCGGGGGCGGAACCCGATTGTACGTCGTTTCTGGAATAAAGCAGGTTCTGGAAACGCGGAGCCGCCTTGGTGCTGTCAGGAGAACCCGCGAGTGTCGCAGGGCCGAGGGGCGGAGGAGGCAGCACTTGGCAGGATGCAGCCGGTCGGTTCTTACAGGGTCAGTCTGCCCCGGGAGCAGCTCAGCCTCTGAAGAGGCAAAACCGTGGCCCCGGCCAGGCTGAGACACAAGTCACGCTGGCACTTGCACAGCACAGACGGGATCAGAGCTGGGGCCCATCTAGCCTGGTATCCCGGCTCCAACGGGCCAGAGCCAGATGCTGCAGAGGACGGTGGAAGAGCCCTGCAGTGGCAGCCGGGGGATAATCTGCCCTCACTTCCTGGTCTCTGATACTCAGCTGGGCTGAAGCCCCACAGCAGGAGGTTTTCTCTCTTCCCAAACGTTTGTGCCCTTTAACTATGATCACTCCGGCTGTTCTCATCAACCGTAGGAATGTCCAGTCGCTCCTTGAAACTTGCTAAATTCTTGGCCTCAGTGACTCCTGTGGTGGGGAGTTCCACAGGCTAATCGCACATTGCGCGAAACAGCCTTTCCTTGGCTCAGTTTCGAATTTCCCCTCTTCTAACTTTGTGACTGGCCTTTGCTCTACTGTTATGAGGTGGGGAGAACAGAAGCTCCCTATTTCCCTTCTCTATCCCCATCAGTCATTTATAGACTCTTAACATGTCCCCTCTTACATTCACGCTAAGGTGACAGTCCCAGTCTTTTCAATCTCTCTCCACAGAGGGTTTTTCCCTGATCATTCTCATTACCTGTCTCTGAACCCCTCTGGTTCTGCACTGTCCTGTGTGCAAGGGGGTGCCCAGGGCAGCTCATAGATTGCAGAGGAGGTCACCCCATTGACTGATATCCAGGCATTAGACTAGCCCTGATGTTATTTTCTATCCCCTTCCTCCAAAGCAGCTCCCCATTTGTCCCTTCCAGGGGCAGGCGGCTCATTCAGGCATTGCCGTCTGCACTGGTATTGCGGCACTGGGCAGCGCCAGATCCACTTGATAGCTTTAGCAAGCAGCCGGCGCGTGTCCTGGCAGGGCTGCTTTTCCCTTCCCAGCTGGAGCGGCTCATTCCGGACAATAGCCAACTTGCTCCCATTCGCTGACCCAGTCACTGAACTCCTGGCTCTAACCAGCCCCGTCTTCCCAGAGCACGGTGCATGTCGGACGCTTGGATTATCCCCCAGCAGCATCACCCCAGTGCCCAAGGTACAGCTCCTAGATCAGCCTGACCTAGCGCTTTCTCTCTCCTTGCAGACATTGACGAGTGCCAGCGAAACGCCACAATCTGTGAGCCCCACGGGACCTGCATCAACATGCCAGGGAGTTACATGTGTAAATGCAGTGGGGGATTTCGGAAGAGTCAAAAGGATCCGTCTAAGATCTGCACAGGTACAACAGGAGCTGGAAACAGTCGTGACAAAGGCATGATGTTTCTGGTTTGTCTGCAGAGTTGCTAATGTGTGGTGTTGCGTTAGAGCCCCACCTCCCAGAGTCCCGTGATTCCGCTTTTGGCTAAAATTAGGGCCTGGCCCACGTGGTGCAGGAAAAACTGCTAAACATTACGCTCGGGTGACCGACAGCTCCCAAACCAGAGTCAAAAAAACAAAGCCAAAATGGATTTTTTTTTTAAAAAATCTTGTGAATTTTAATCCAATCTCGTGACTTTTTTGCAGCCTGACTCACGGTTTGGGGCTTTTATTGATTGGTTGGCGTTGGCGATGCTGTTAATGCACGGCCACTGAGCTTACCCAAGATCTCTGAAACTAACCAGCATTCATGGATGGGGAAACTAACCAGGTTGCCCTGAGGTCTCACTCTTTCTCTGCACCACACCCGGGCAGTGTCTGTTCTGACTCCCAGCCTGTCTTACACATTGGAAACTGAGGCCGGGGACTGAACGTCGCCATGTCTCTTGCCATGGTGCTTAATTCTCCTGAGGCAGGAGCGTAGGGCATTGGGGATGTCATTAGAAGCTGCAACATCCCCCCAAAACCTGCAGCTGCAATCAGAGCCCAAGATGCTCTTTCGTAGCAGAGCTTTGAGGTGGGGGCAGGTCAGGTCTTTGCAAAGCAAACTGGGCTGAGACGGAGCCGAGGACTCTGTGTTGGACAATCTTTAAAGCAAAGCGTTCTGGATAAATATTGGGGAGAGCTCAGCTGGCCAGAATGAGTGCGTCTCTGCCCGCACAAGCTGGGTCCCTAGGTAGAAAACCCAACTCCCTGCACGGGGTGAGTGACCCCACTGCGCCATGGAGCCCTGACAAACCTGTGTATCCCCCTTTGCCTGGCAGCTGGCGCTACCCATGTTGGCAGCCTGGCGGATGCACAGCCCTCCAGCGTTTGGCTAGATCACGGCAGGGCTCTCTGTGCCCGGGCAGGGCGGGGCCCGTCTGTCAGATCAGACTTTCCACAGCGGTGAAAGGCCCCAGGAGGCAGGGAGGGCAGTAAAGTCCCCTCCGTTTGGGGCCGGATTGGTGACCCGCTGGGTGGCGACTCCGGCTGGGGCTATGCTGGGGGTCAGGCTGGGCGGGTCTCTTCCGGCTTCGGCTTCCACAGGCTGGATCGGCAGCGAGTGTCAAGCTGGCATCATCCGTCCGAGGGCTCGGTGGATTCGCCCCGCGGGGCCCTGGGCCTGGGGGTCACAGCAGGGTCCGGGAATGGACGTTGTTGGGCCGCTGCTCACTGCGCAGTGTTAGGAGTAGGGGGATCCCCTGGATCCAGCTGGCTTCCAAACAACCCGTTTACCAGCCGTGCAGGGCCTGGCCGCATCTGGGGGTCTGCGGGCTTCTGCCATCGACCCCTGTGAGCGCCACCAGAGAGCAAAGAAACTAGATTAAAGGGACACCACCCAATTCCCCTGCACTTCCCTGGGCACAGCCCACCCACCCTTCTCCTAGTGCGCCATGGGAGGGGTAGTGCTGGGTGTATCCCGAACGGGGAGGGGACCCATTGGGCTGGGGTCTGTAACGCTGAGTGTGGCGCCCCCTTCTGACGACTAGCTCCAGTTCAGCGCCCCCTTTCTTCTCTTCCACCATTGCCGCTTCCGGAGTCGTGGCTGCCCCGTGTCTCGGCCGTCCGGCCAGGTCACGCTGTGATCCCCATTCTGGGGGAGCCTTTCAAAGTCAGACCCCTCTCTCCTATCCTTGCTATCAAAACCCTTCCTCCAGGGCCCCTAGCCCCCCTCACCTCAGGCCCCCACCACTGGGCCCAGCCCTCGGGCTGTATAGAAGCCCCACCTGTCCCCTCCCAGGCGAGCTTCCTTCTAGCTAGCGTCCTGCACGCAGCCTAAGTCACTTCCCCTTTGCAGCTTAACTGGCTGATCGCCACCTCCCTACCCCCCCGCCTTAACCTTGCTCTGTCAGGGCTGGTGCAGGGAGAGGATCGCAGGGTCCTGGTCTGGAAAACATTGGGCCCCCCGATCTGGTGGGTGGGGGAGGGGTTGTGCTGCAGGGATTGGGGCACTGCAAATAGCAGGGAAGAAAGGAGAATGGAATGGGGGGGGTAGATGGAGCAGACAGACGGACCGACAGACCACGCCCCCCTGCAATCGGTGGGGTGCCTCCATGGTCCTTCGCCCCCCATGTGCCCCCAGCCGTCGTGTGTGTAACCCCCCTCCCCCGCTTTCCCCTCTCAGACATCGATGAGTGCCACAAGAACCCAGGTATCTGTGGCCCCAAGGCCACGTGTATCAACACCAACGGACACTACTGGTGTGAGTGCCAGGCCGGCTATGTCCTCTCCACCAGGAACTCAAGCATGTGCGAAGGTGGGTCCTGCCGTGGGGGGCATGGAGGGGGCAGCTGGGGGGGCTGGGCAGGGCCTGAGGTTACACAGACAGAGGTCTTGCCCGAGGAGGCAGCGATCTGGGAACTGGTCTGGGATGGTGCACCTGCCCGCCATGGACAGGGTCCCTCTAGGTCTCAAGCCTAGACAGGGAGGGCTTAGCTTCAAGGCTCTCACGTCCCCCCAGTCAAGCCTGTCCATCCACTGGGATGTTTCCGGTTTTCTCAGAGCCACAGCCACCAGCGTGCCCATGTCTGGCTCTGGGAGTGGAGCAGGGGTCACTCCAGGGCCAGGCTGGGGAGTGGGTGAGCAGGGCTGCCAGGGGCCAGGCATCTCTTCCCTAGGGTTGCCAACTGTCTATCACACAAACCCAAACACCCTTCCCCGCCCCTTCTCCGAGGCCCCGCCTCACCCACTGCATCCCTCTCCCTCCATCGCTTGCTCTCTCCCACCCTCACTCACTTTCCCCGGCTGAGGCAGGGGGTTGGGGTGTGAGAGAGGGTGCAGGCTACAGGCTGAGCCTGGGGAATGGGGCTGGGGTGCAGGTGGGGGTGTGGAGTTCAGGCTTCGGGAGGGGGCTTGGGCTCCGGGAGGGAGCTCAGGGCTGGCGTTGGGGTGGGGGTGCGGGGTGCGGGCTCTGGGAGGGAGTTTGGGTGCCAGAGGGGGCTCAGGTGGCGCTTACCTCGGGTGGTTCCCAGCCGGCAGTGCAGCGGGGCTAAGGCACGTGTAAAGGTGGGTTCTCCCCAGTGGGCAGAGGTGTCTGTACCCAGCAGGTCTCTCTGCAGAATAGATGGAAACACGTCTAGAAGCCTCGGAGACAGGAGCAGGAGGGACAGGCAAAGTGGAGTGTAAATGGAGGAGAGACAGAGACAGAGTGAGACGGGGAGGAAGGGAGGGAGTTTTGTAGCAGCCGCATGTTAAACTCTTGGCAGCACAAGACTGGCATGTGGACAGACAGCAGCCATCGGGGCTGGGAAGAGAAGGGGATTTTCCCTCAGGCAAGAGTGAGTTGAGATGAAAATCTGATATGAAAGCTCTAACGTCTGCTCCTCTCTTCCCATCGCTCCAAGCCCCCAGCATTAACTGCAGCGCTGAGTTCGAGGGAATCAAAGCAACGTGCAGGAATTTCAATTTGCAGGTACGTTTGAACCCATCATTCATTTGTTGGGGATTTTGCTCTGTGTTTTGTACCACCAATATGGAAATTCCCAGACAAAAACCTTTCCTGTTGGTATTACGGTGAACCCTATAAACCCCATCCAAGATCAGGGCAATTCTGTGTTTGTCTTTTCATTGCTGGGACTCGATCCTCCTCATCCTTCTAGTAGAGCGGAAGAATTACTTCTCGTGTCTTGCTTACAACGCTCCTGCTAATACAGGGGTTCTCAAACTGGGGGTTGAGACCCCTCAGGAGGTCATGAGGGTATTACATGGGGGGGGTCGCGAGCTGTCAGTCTCCACCCCAAACCCCGCTTTGCCTTCAGCATTTATGATGGTGTTAAATGTATAAAAAAGTGTTTTTAATTTATAAGGGGGTTGCACTTAGAAGCTTCCTATGTGAAAGGGGTCAGCAGTAGAAAAGTTGGAGAACTACTGTACAAATACATCCCAGAATGAGGTTTCAGTTTTTTGCAACAGCATTACACTGTTGACTCGTATTGAGCTTGTGATTCATTATGACCCCCAGATCCCTTTCCGCAGTACTCCTTCCTAGGCAGTCATTTCCCAGTTTGTATGTGTGCAATTGATTGTTCCTTCCTAAGTGGAGAACTTTGCATTTGTCCTTATTGAACTTCATCCTATTTACTTCAGACCATTTCTCCAGTTTGTCCAGATCGTTTTGAATTTTAATCCGATCCTCCAAAGTACTTGCAGCCCCTCCCAGCTTGGTATCGTCCGCAAACCTTATAAGTGTCCTCTCTATGCCATTATCTAAATCATTGATGATGATATTGAACAGAACCAGACCCAACACTGATCCCTGTGGGACCCCACTCGATATCCCCTTCCAGCTTGCCTGTGAACCACTGATAACTACTCTCTGGGAATGGTTTTCCAACTAGTTATGCACCTACCTTAGAGTGGCTCCATATAGGTTGTATTTCCCTAGTTTGTTTATGAGGTCACGTGAGACAGTGTCAAAAGTCTTACTAAAGTTAAGGTATACCATGTCTACCGCTTCCCCCCTATCCACAAGGCTTGTTACCCTGCCAAAGAAAGCTATCAGGTTGATTTGACAGGATTTGTTCTTGACAAATCCATGCTGACTGTTACCTATCACCTTATTATCTTCTAGGGGTTTGCAAATTGATATCGAACCTTCTAAAACTTCTGTAGCTTTGCTAGTGGCTGGTCCCAGACTTACACGCCCATTGTCTTCCCGCAGGAGAGCATTGACTCTACAGACCATATACTCTGATTTCTTCTGCTGATTTTCATGCCGTTTCTTTCCAATATGCACCTCCATGTCTCTCTGCATCTTCCTTCACTTCCTCTTTCCTCTCCCCCACGAGCACTACGTCATCTGCAAAAGGCATGTGCCAGGGGCCACTCTCTGGCTGCTTTCTGTCAATGCCTCCAGCACCGACGTGAACAAAAAGGGGCTTAGTCCCAAGCCTTGATGTATCCCAGCTGTTACTAGAAACTGTTCCCTTTCGCCACATGAACCTCGCGCTGTGGCAACAGCACCATCGTACATGTCCTGGACACGTCTGCTATAAAAGCTTTATTCACTTCATGAGGTGTGTCAGGATCAGGCCCTTCATAAGGGAAATCCCAATGTCAGTCGCCCTTCAGCGCCTGCAGAACTCACCCTCTGCCCTGGGTCTCTCTGCAGGGAAAGTGGAGCAGCAGAAGCAGCAGTTTTTGCTCTTTCTTTAATTCAACATTAGACATTTTGATGTCCACGTGC